GTCCCTAAACAGTTCAAAATAAATCAAAATATTTTGAAAATGTTATCGTGTATAGAAAATGCAAATATTTAAACCAGTGAAATTTTCATGTATATACGTTCATTTGTTTTAGAGTTACACCAATAACCAAAATCGATTTTTTGGAAAACCAATTTTGCGTAAAAATTCCCGTTTTTCCTTAATTTTTGTGTTGTTTTTCCCGGCGCTTGTGAAAACTACTGCGAAATTTATACTTTTGACCCCCCAAAGTACCAACTAGATTCACTTTCCTATCAGAAAAGCTACTGATGAAGAAAATCCAAGCACTTTTACTGTCCTAAAACGTGATGACAGACACAAAAATATAAATAAAAATATAAAAATATAAAAATATAAAAACACACTGAACCAAAAACGTACATATTATTGAAAAAAAAGTACGTTAGATTAATAAATTTAACCATCAAAATATCTCCGATGAAGAAAATTATTAATACAACAAACTGTTGTTTATAATTAACATATTTGATGTACGAGTATATGTCTTATTAATAAATAATAGTTTATTGTTTTTATAATTTTTGTTAATTTATATAAAAATCAAAATTATTAATATCATGTATTATAAGTTTATTAGATTAACAATATATATTATTATATTGTCGAAGTCTTATTATTTGTTTCATGTATTTGGATTTGTAATTCAGTGATACTATTTATTGATCTAAAAATCATAATTTTTAACATTATGCTTACAAATTATTTTATAAACAATATAATTTATTATATTGGTTAAGTCTTATTGTTTATTTAATGTATATGAATTCTTGATTCAGTTATACAGATAATTAGATAATTATATCAATAAATAGTTGTTGTTGACTCAAAGTAGGTATATGTTTTGAATTAATGAATGCAATATTTATGTGCAAAAGTTATATTTATTTTATTAATAAATTCAAAACATTGATCATACAAATATATTTGTAATAAATGTATAATAAATTTCACTATAAAATAAATTGAGTAATGTTACAAATTGGTAATAACAAACCTTTACAAATACTTTAAAAGCTTAAAGGAAAATATAAGATTATTGAGATGAAACAATATAATATAATATAATATATTATATAAATCACAATCACAATCTCTTTAGTGGTATTGCTTTTAATATATTGAATTCGTGAATTACAACAAGCCTTCCACGTACAATCAAATTCAAATGAACTTATGTTATCAAACTTAAGTGCTTTAATACAGCTTTCAGCATCATTTTCTGGCTCTGAAAAATAATATTATTTATTTACAATATAGTCTATAAGTATAGGTAATAATTAATAAATAATGCTATTTTACCGAAATTTTTTAAATGTCTGCTGAATTTATCTGAATTAACAGAAGATATTTTCTCTGCTGAGTGTTCCAGATGACCTGATACCACTTTGAATGCTGTTGTGAGATTATAAAATTTGTTGTAAATTTTGCCTCTCTTTGCAGTTCTGTAATATTCCTAAAAAATAAAATGCAGGTATATTTTAGCATATAATAAAGACCAATTTAAATACCTAATAATTATTTCCCAATACGAAATTTTTCCAGGAAATATTTCATTTTAAATTTAATCAGTTTGTATAATATTATAGCAAAACATACATAATAATATTATTTTCATTTTTTTTTCAAAATTAACAATTTCCGAAAAACAAAAACACACTTATTATGCACATACATTTGAGTTAACAAAAAATTGGGCCCACTCCGTTTAAAATATAAATAAATAATTATACTAATAATATATTTGTATATAACTTACCTTGGCTTTTTGTTGAATGCGACGAAAAGACTTAAACGACGAAACACAACCTTTTTTAAAAACACCAAACTTGTTTCTTATAAGGAAACCGTTAACGGAGTAACGGACTGAGCACAGTGTTAAAATAATGAATAACGATAATGATAACTGGGTTGTTAATAACAAAATCTTGTACGTTATTATTACAATTTTTTATTATTGATAACCGAATCAATAACATTATTTTTAATATAATGCATAATATTTATGGTATTTATAAATATGAATTTTTTACCCAATCTTACAAAATACGTTGTATCAACTACAACGTTTATTTATATAAAAAATATACTTTTATGAAATATTAATTCCGTTTATTAATAGGATAATCAAATTCGCTAGTTTAACTATTTCACTTATTTAAGTAATAAACCATTTATTTATCGTTTTAATATCATCAATTATTATTTTAATAAATATATTGTGTACAACTGATGAGTAAATTTTAATTGTGTCCACAAACACAAGTTTATAATATTAACCACAATTATTATTAATCAATAAGCAACATTTTGTTGAAATAGTAAAAAAAATCGTTGTGTCAAAAAAAATGATCAATAAACGGTGTTTATTTTTATTATGAACATCTTTTTTTTCAGTGCATACATCATTGTAAAACCAATACATTCATCGCTCCGCTCAGAATCTAAAATATGAATTTCAAACGCTCATAAAAATTTAATTTGAGTTTCTTATAGACATTTTTTTTTTTGATAAAAGTAGACAAACTTATGAGGAATCTCTAATATTTTTCAACTGATATTGTAACAATATATCAGAAGCCTTGTATTAAATATTTTTTAGTTTTTGGCACAACAGATACAACTTTATTGATATTTATAGGTCAGTAAACGCGTAAACACGTTTTATAAGGAAATATAATAGAGGTAGAATTCTCTACTGGGCTATAGCCTATAGAGATGCAAATTGAACAGACGACAATAGTCCAAACTCAGATTCTGAATTCTGATTCTGAAAATATTCCTCCTGATAACTGGAATAGGTACCTACTATGGAAAATGAGTAGAATTCTTAAGTATAAATTAGGTTTTTGAAACTTTTTTTTTGTTGTTGAACGTCGAGATAGAGCTACACTTATTCCAATAACTGAAAAAAGAATACTTCGAGGAACAACAATCCTGTCAGATGAATGGAAACCCTATAAAGTTTTACAAAATAAAGGTTATAATCACTCGATTGTAAACCATTTTAAAAATGTGGCCGACCCACTAACAGGAGCCGACACCCAGACAATAGAATGCATTTGAGAACATCTTAAAATGAAAATACTTCGAATTACATAGGAACTTTTACATAGTCAATAGTCATCTAACTAAAACATGGTGTAGGTCAGTAAGTTAGTACATACTTTTTAAATACTTAATTGATACTAAAAATGTTACGGTCTGTACTTGGAACTTTTTTATATTTGGCTATTAATTTTTATTTTTTGATATTTGACGAACATTTTTGTGATATGATGTATTAAAAAATATAATGTGTTTTTAATTTTTATATATGACAATAGTGCACTATTTAAAAAAATATATAATTTTAATTTGTACGTAGATCACTCGTTCCGAATTCACAGATCACTCAACCGTGGCAGATCACCTGCTACACGAATGCCTAAAATCGCTCCATATAAGATATATACAGAGAATATCCAACGTTGTAGAAATTTGAACTTTAAACGCTCAATTCAACGCGTAATTTTGAGTTGCGATATGTTTAAGATTTTTAATTCAAAATGAGGACTTGTGACATTTAAGCCATGTGATAACCCGTAGTTATGATATAAAAAAACATATGGTTGGCCCACGGTCTACGGATACCTATACTATAATATATGTGTAATGATGTGTACCTATGTAAAAAATTTACAATCTTAGGCCGTGTGTTACAGGTCCTAAAACGCTTCCGTAGCACAGAACATTATAGAAAGGTCACTCGATCAGCTGTACGTTTCTGTATCCCTCTGTATGGATGGTATGGAGTAACGTAAGTTGTATTACTATTACCATTGATTTTATAATATACATTATAAAATCAATGCTATTACTTATATATTACCCTTAGATCATATACAATGGATGGAGTCATAGCATACTACGCGTATAAAATGAGTTGATGCCAACATTATTGTAGGACCTGTGACATCTGCGCATGCGCGACTGCTTATCATAATCTTAGATCATATACTAGTATATGATCTAAGATCATAATAGATCAATCTGTTTATCTTGACTGCGCGTCTGCAGTGCGACTCTGCACTCAGTCTGCGTCTCTGTGCCAAACATTAATGATAAGAGACCACGCGCATGCGCATATCACCGAGGTCCTACAATGATGTTGGCTTCACAGATAGTTCGTATGGCTCTATCCATTGTATATGATCTAAGATATTACCATTACTATTACTATTTATGTACTATGTCAATGTGGATATCAGCTGTGGTTGTACCGTATCCGTAATCAGATATAAAAGTCCGTAGTAAACAGTACTGCGTTATTGTTCTGTGGTTATACTATTTTTTATGGTAATATATTGTATATTAATACTTTTATATTAGAATTTATTAATTTAATCAGTGATCAGTGTATACTGTATAATACTATTGATTTTAAATACCATAACACAGAATAATATAGTTAGGTCACGGATTAAGGTCATTACTCATTTTACATTAATCACAGATCCAAGTAATTCCAAGTATTCGTGATGTAGGTATATCTTAAACCGTGTATTTATAATTTATAAATAAATTATAATCAATGATAATACGTTTGGAAATAAAATAACTATTTTATGATATTATGATATTTTGACATCAAATTAAAGCTTATAGCAAATAAATTATTGACTACGACTACCTCGAATTGAGACCACTAAGTTTTATTTTTCGGAATATAAGTAGGTACCTACTTATAAATTATAATTATTACTATATTTTCATTTTCAGCTAATTAATTTGTTAATGTTTATTAGGTATTATATTATTATATTTACAGACTAGATATTATAATATATATCAAACAAAAATGAAATATTGGTTACTTAATATATGAGATAATATTATATGTATGAATAATATTTATTTCAGAAACATCATTATAAGATAATTATTAATTTACATATAATTACAGTACAGAATTAAAAAAAAAAATGTTGAAATCAGTTTTGAGACAACTATATAGACATAAGTCTTCATCATCTTCTGAAAATATAACAACTATCAAGTCAGCTAATTCATATCGTATAACTCTTTCAGATTCTAAAACTAGGTATGTATACTTATAATTATGTTTATAGTGATTATGTAAAAAATATTATGTTGTTATACATCAATAAACATTTACAACAAAATCTCATTTAATATTTCCCTTTTTGTGTGGATTAACATGATAAAAAAAAAAAAAAAATATGTATAGTATTAAACAAATATATATATAACCATGTAATACGGTCCATTAATTACAAATTACTGTAACAAAATTACTTTTGCAGTAATGAAGTAATAATTTCATTATATTTTATTTAAATTAATTAATGTAATTACTTTTTAAAAGTGATTTCTTTGGAGTATCGTATTATTGTCCATGTTATTAAAATAAATAGAATGTAGAATGTGTGACAAAAACTAGGGGCTAGAATAAACTAGAAAAATTAAAAATTAATACAATTTATTTACAATTCCAAAAGTTTTAGATAGTAAATAATAATCAAAAATCTTATTAAAAATCCTAGGAATTAACAATTATCATTTTATTCATGTACAACATGTCAACATTAATTCATTAACAATAATGTAGCTTGTACCTACTTATAAGTCTTTATGGACTGATTTTGTAATTATACTTAAATAATGTTAGTTGGAACGCACTACTTTTTAAATGAAAAAGTAAAGTAACATGATTAAAATAATGTATAATTATTAATTTTTATATATTAATTCAAATATAATACTATAAATTAATAATTAATTAAAATTAACATATTTAATGTGACGAGTAACATAATTTACCCAACACAGCATGTCAGTACGACAGTACCCTAATTTGAATTGATGGGTGCATAGAAAACCACGTAATTAACACTGACTTGTGTCTAGAGCAGTGGTTATTAATCAGTTTTCTGTGGTTGAGGAATAGGTGTTTCCCCAAAATTTTAAAATCGGTGGGAATATTATAAAATGTTATTAATATTTTTATCCTTAACATTTTTTAATAAAAGCATTATTTTGTAACAACGTGAAACCATGTAAAAAAAATATTTTTTGAATAATGAGTATCTTAAAAATTAATGACTTGGCACTGGACAGTATAGGCAGTTGGAAGAATACTACTTTCAAATAGTGTTTATTGAACTATTCATTTTTCTAAAAAAAATTTTTCTTTATAGATTCAAACATATAATCCTAATATTTGAGTATCAGAAATTAAATAGTTTGATAAACCTTAATTATATTTTGATCATAACTACTTACAAAAAAATATTTACTATCATATGTTTATAGAAATACACTATCTATTGTTACACTTCAACATTTAATTGAAGAAATAAAAAATGCAGGGGATGATTTATCTTTAAAAAGTATAGTACTATGTGGAAATGGACCGGTTTTTTCTGCCGGACACAACCTCAACGAACTTGTAAGTAATAATTATTATATATGTTTGCTTTTACTATGGTATCAACTTTTTTTTTTGCTCATTCAGTCTCCTCACTTGGCCAAGCAAACATTGTCACGGCTGTCTTGGTGTTTTTTGTTATAAGGGCTGTTGACTAATGCTTACATATGTAAGTATGTGACTTTCCCATTCCAGTATTTTTGAAATAAGATAGTTTTGGATGTTTGGGGCGTTTAAACCCGGTTCGATATCTGCAATTAGTTCTCGGTTTATATTGTGTGTTGGATTAAACATTGTTTTATACATTTTCTAAGAACCTATCTTTGAAATGTTAGTATGTTATTTTTATTACCTTTGGTTTTATCTCCGTGTTTCTTAGCAATATTTGGTTACATTGTGATGTATAGTTTTTTAAATTTGCTTAATTATTTTTAGTTTACTTTGACAAAAGTTTATAATTAAACATTTTGCTTATTGCAATTGTAACAATTAATCTCTACCTTATTTCATTGTGGATGTCATATTGTCATTATTGTGGTTCAAGTTGAGATTAACTTCCAAGTATTTAAAATGGAAGTATTTCCAACCTGCTTGCAAGTTGCATGTTGGTTTCCCTATATCCCCTTGACCTACTCCTTCAGATGTATTATATAAGCTGTTTTAAATTTATTAATGTTTTGGACAATGTGATTTCAATTCCCTACATACAAGTCTGCAAGATTGTTACGCACATTATCCAATCTGTCTACACTATACAAATCGGTTATTTGTTTTAGAGTTATACCAAAAGTCAAAATCTATTTTGTCAAAAACCTATTTTGCTTAAAAATTCCCGGTTTTCCTTATGCGCCAACTAGATTCACTTTCCCATCAAACAAGATACTGAAGTTGAAAATCGAAGCATTTCGACTACCTACTTATCTTGTACACAGACACAAATTAAAACAATTTAAAAAAACACATTGTAATATCAATACATTCATCGCTCCGCTCAGAATCTGAAATAATTTTCAAATTGTATAGGAGTGTACAAATTTTGAAAATATTATTTTATAAAATACATTTCTATAAATTTTTGACGTAACTACCCTTTTTTTTTTCAATTTTTGTTGATGTTGATCATCGATAATTGTTTTGTCCTTGCCAAGTTTATGAGAACCACTTAATGCATGTTTAATGTTTAATTTAAATACTTAGATACATAGGCACAAATCGCAGGGGGCTAAGTAGACTTGGGGGAATTGATGTTAAAAATGTTAGCCTCTAGAAATTTGAATGGATTTGCAGTTAGATAAAAAGTAAAATTTATGTTATTTGTTTAAATTTGATGCCAGTAACTTACTAATGTAATAAAATGAAAAAGCTTTTGCTAATTTTATTTTGTCAGAAATACATATAAGTTATGTATAAGTTTCTAAATATACTCCAATAGTTGGTCTATTATAGTACATAATATTAACTCATATTTTATCAATAATCAATATTAAACATTTGTATAATATTATAGAGCATACCAGAAAACCAGAAAATTATATTCTCATTAGCTACAAAACTTATGAATACAATGATAGATTGTCCTATACCTATTATAGCATGTGTTGATGGTATAGCTGCAGCATCGGGTTGTCAATTAGTAGCAGCTTCAGATATGGCGATTTGTTCAAACCGCAGTTCTTTTTCAACACCTGGGTACGGAATTTATTGAATTTTATACTTTAATAGTTTAATCTACTATAGACTAAAATACTATGTAAAAAAAAAACTTACATAATAATATATAATATTTTACTTTTAGTGTAAACCTTGGTTTGTTTTGTTCTACTCCAGGAATTCCACTGGCTAGAGTTATGTCGAAAAAAACTGCGGCTTACATGTTATTTACTGGTACACCAATCAATGCCGAAGAAGCCCTTAGAACTGGTCTTGTTAGTAAGGTTGTTCAACCTGAAGAATTAGGTTAATTATTTTAAAAATATTTAGATGTGATTGGTTCTACTCATTAATATTACTTTTAGATGATGAAATTACCAAGTTGACAATATTAATTGGTCAAAAAAGCCGTTCTGTTATTACTTTGGGGAAGAAATTTTTTTACAGACAAATTGATGAAAATATTAAATTGGCTTACAAGTAATTATGTATTTTTTAAAAAAAATGTTTTTTGTAATTGTAAACATTTAAAACATTATTACAGAATTGTATATTTATCTAACAATTATACCTAATATATATTTACAGGAATGGAGAACAAATTATGCTAGATAATTTAGAACTCAATGATTGCAAAGAAGGTTTACAATCATTTGTTGAAAAAAGAAAACCCAAATGGTCTAATTAAAAGTGAAATTTCCATTTAATAAAATAAAATTATCTATAAAACATTTTTATTGTCTTAAAATATTTGTTAGTAATTTTCATAAATTATATAAGTATAATATATGTTACTGGAATACAACAAAATCAGGCCCCAATTTATTGTATTCATTGCAGTCTTGTTAAGAATACTTTTCAAATGTATTCAGAATATGTATTTAAATAATTTGTGTAATTTGTATTTAAAATACATTAGTCAAAAAGTATTAAATACAAGTATTCGAATACTTAACAAGACTGATTCATTGCAAAATACATATTATTTTGTGTACCAATTTTATTGTACATGAATATGTTATTTCTTATTATAGTTATTGATATATTAGGCATTACTTTATGGATAGTATTTCAACCACACCAGAAGAAAATTACTTATTATATCATATGGAAACCTTAACATAATTTTTTATATAAGTAAAATATTACTCGTACGTCTATAATTGTACATCAATTTTAAGTATGGGTTTTCTTTAGATAATAATTACCTACAATATGTATGACACTTTAAATAATATTACCTAAGTTTACCTAGGTATACTTGAAAACAATTTAGAGGTCTTTTGTTATAAATATTTAGAGTTTATATGGATTATGCATAGATGTATTAATAATACTATTAATATGTCTATGGAATTATATGAGTGGAGTAGTGGAACAACATTTTTGCAGGGTACCTACTACATTGTTCTACCCTACTACCTACGTCCTACACTACACTCGGCTCATCAACCTATAGAATGTATTAGAAACTCCGCTAGATGGCAGGGCGGTACTGTTTTGTCATTACAACCTGTGATAATATGTCATGATAAAATATAGATTAACACATTACACTGATTACGGTATTGAGTATTCTGTTTATGAATTTATTTATACTTATTAAATTACAGAGTACAGACCCATTGGGCATTGGCCATTATTATATGATATTGAGGACTGCATATTTAATTATTTGTGCTTCGAAATATTATAATATTTAAGTATACTAAGATTTAAAACTGAGGCCACTGGGCTAACAGATAAAATGTTACTGTTACCAATACGTATAAATACAATTGTACTAAACAATATTAAGCGATGTTTCATGACGAAGTCTTATGGTTTAATGTATTCTAATGTGAATCAAGATACTATTAAACATGCTAAAGATGATCAATTTATACCTGTTTATAAGTAAGAATGGTCATCTTTTATCATGGTTTCTTATTAAATTATAGAATTCATGTGTGTAAGGCTTAGATACATATTGACTAAACGTTTTACGTCTACTCACATTGTCTAATAATTATTACAATAACAGTTATATTTGTTTGTAACATTTTGGTTATTCATTTTAATTTAATTTGTTTATTTGTATTGTAGGTATCACAAGGTTGTAGGTTTTTGTTTTATACTAACAAAAATGAAAAAAAAAAATCATTTCCTTAAACATTTTAATATTATAGTTTTTATGATTTAACAATTATTTCAGAATACCACACATGAAATTTTTCATTGGCTTAAATAGAGTGAAAAGATATCAACTATTTGGACTATTTTGTTGGATTCCTATGTGTTTTAGTTTAAATATGCTTAGTTATTTAAATTCTGAAGAAGTAATTTGTGCATCATTAATAGGTAAGTATTAAACATTTTTTTTTTTTATTTTTAAAAATGTTTAGTATAATATCTCATTAATTTTCAGGTTTAGGTTTGACAGCTGGCTTACATATTGCCTCTTGGATAATATCAAATAATCTTGTTGTTTTTGCATATATAAGTAAAGACGATCAAACATGTCGGATGTCATATATATCTTATTGGGGGAATCGAGAGGAATTATATTGCAACATTGAAGACATAAGACCAATTGAAATTTCTAAATTAAGTTTTTTAAATCACAAAATTAAATTGGATGGAAGTTCAATCACACTTAAAATAATTACACGCAACTCGACTATTTTAAATAATGCTAAATTTAGAAAAGTGTTCGGTAGTGATATTATTTGAAAAATAAATTAAATTTGAGTCATGTACCAAAGTAAATTTTAATTTTTTTTCAATACTCACTACTAATAGTGCATTGTCATTACATTTTTGGGTATCAATGACAATTATTAACTAATTTTTATTAAATGGTCTACGTTTTTTATTATTTGTTATTAAACATTTAATAAGCCTCATCTAATATGTCTTTAAAGTTTAAATATTATGATATTTTTAGACATTTGAAGTTTAAATTTTGATGAAATTATATGTTTAAACTCAGAATAAGAATGCAAGTTATTCTGTTGTAATTCAAAAACATAATTTGTGAGAATTGAAACTTTTTGTATAATATTGCATATTTCACTATACACAATTTATAAAAATATGTGTAGAATTCATTTTAAACTATTACCTATCCATACCATGAATCTACACTAGTGGTGGGAATGTCCAGCTTTCGAAAATCTGAATTATTCGGATATGGCAAATCCGGATTTAAAGGATTATCCGAATAGATCAAAGACTCATTTTTATATTCTAATCAACTTAAATCTATAACATATTTTAATTACAAAAAAAAAAACAATTTATTTTACCACACAATAAAAATAATTATTATTCACATAAAAATCAAATCCATAAATCCTAATAAGAATTTTATCCAAATCTTTGGATTTTATGCCCATCCCTAACACACTGTTTTATGCTAAGTCTATATTGACTTAAAAGTTATTAATAATAATATTCAGTGAAATCTACCAATAGCGGATGTTTTAGTGGGAACCAACTTAAAACTTTGTACAACCTGAACATTGCATAGCAAACATTTTAGCAATTTAGAGTGTCCGGTATTGAGAGAAGCACTATGTTGTAGTATTATAATACTTAAATATTAATAATGTAAATGCATTGTTTTCAGAAAAAATGAATTCATCCTACCCACCTTATTTCTAATAGTAAAATAAATTATTATAGTTGCAATATAAATATATCATAAAATATACTCGTACAGTAGTATCTAGCTGTATACCTTAAATTTTCCATGGACTCCGATAGGTTATAACTACTTATATGTTCATTTTAATAAAGAATGTAAACTCATTAATAAGACTCGATATTTATAATTTAATAAGATGACAAATTTCAAAATACAACGAATTATAATCTTATATCCCAAAACTATGCGTTTTATCTGATTATTGTTAAACACAATAGAATAATATAGGTGATAATGTAGATATACAAATCAAATAATTTGAATTTGAATTTTTTAAGTGAATAATTTACAGGTTATTCCTTAACGCCTATAAGTATTACATTTTAAAAAGTTAGAAATTAAAATTTCTTATTTTTTATCTAATTAAGGCGTAACCCATCATTTAAAGGCAACTACAGTACTGCTATATAATATTGATGGCGCTATGAATTAGGTCCAAGGAATATCCACTATCCATCCTATTGTCCTTTCATTAAATTGACGCCTCAGTTCATAAATGTAACAACTGAAAAAATTGGTTTATCGAGTATAATGTGTTTTCTATATTGTTTAACGTAATGTAAATTAAAATATTGAAAATCCTCTCTCGTGATCAATAATTTAACTATATTTTAGTGTGTTTTTAAACTGAATTTGTTATAAGATGGTCTATAAGTCTATAACTCAGATTTATTATATCTTAAGTTGTTGCAGTCTTGAACTGAGGCATTGAAATTGCGATGAAATGTGTGTGACATACAATTAATTTGAATATATTCAAATTAAAAAAACGTATTGACTACCAAATTTAAAATGCATCAACAATTTTTTTACTAAATCTATAGCTTATTAATTTAATGAAATAAAAGTTAACATAACATGTATTTATGTAAATCAGTTTGATTTAAAAATAATAAATATATAGAATATTACTATATAAGTTATACAATATTGTCGATTAATGTACTGATGATTGTACTTTTTTTTCTTAACACGTTGACTGCCATGTGGCCGCCATTTGTAAATTTCAAATATTATGCTTTTGCAACCAACGGCAGCTACAGTTGATCATTACTACCACGCCACATGACCACCGGCGGCCGTAAATGAATATGGTTTTACATTATTAACTTCTCCATGGCCCTACAATAATGTGCCAATAAAACCGCTGTAGCGTAGTGCGAATCATTACAAATTTTTCGATGTAAAAATTATATTTTTAAACTTTTTTCAATAAAATAGTATAATATACAGATTTGGAATGACACTGAAACATATACTTGGGGTTCAGATGATCCATATCGTGTGGCCGCATGGCAGTCAATGTGTTAATAATTAATTAAACACAACTCTTACTATTACTTAATTATTAGTTATACCTTAATACAAATATAGTAAGTAATAATAATACAAAAAATTACTATAAATTAAAATTAAATGTTAATATTTGATAAAAAAAAAAAAAAATTATAATTGCCGAGGTATATAAATAATAAAAAAAAACAATAAAAGTATACATTTATATAATAAATTATTATTTTTTAAAACTACACGACTAAAAATATTGAAAATAGTGATGTAATTACAAAGTAAATTACATTATGTAAGGTATTATAAACTTTTATTTTTAATGATATTTGTAAACAAATCAAAATATATTATAATATAATTATAACTGGTTGTAAGAAATCAATAATAAATAAATAATTTAAGTAAAAGAATAAAACATTTCCAGCGGCTTGTTAACTTTCCAAAACTTATCGTGTACATTTCGAAGTGTTTGATTGCCACTGAGAGGCACAAATTGATCTGCAGTGGGAGCAACATAGATCAAAAAATTAAGAGCTCGTTCCGGAAGCTCTGGACCAAGGTCTAACGTCAATCGCATAGCTAAATACTTACTCAAATGATCAACTAGAAAAAAAATTCATGTACATATTATAATGTGTTTTGAAAATTTGACTTGTGCCACTTTATTACACTTAGAATTATTGGTTATATTTCTTGAGTTTAATTCTACACACATAAAATGTAGTAAATCTATTAAACAACAACTTTTGAATAATACCTGTATGATTTAAAATTTCATTAATATACTATTTATACTTTTTATTTTCTGGGGTTGTCCTGTACCATAGGTACCTACATAAAAAGTGGAGATATTCTTCAATTATAATAATTGAGTTATTAATTGCAGTAATACTTTCCCGTGTTTGGGTCGTACGTAAAAAAAAGACAAGTATGAAAAATATCTGAACAATAATAAAAGAATCTTATATCTATAGAATTTTAAAGACTTACCAGTTGCATTAGCCGTTGTTTTTATATAACGTACAGAGTTTTCTTTCAAAACTCTGATCAATTGATTGTCACTGGCCATTTCTGTAGGATGAGGTTTAAACACTAGTTCTATTTCATCTACTGACACACCTTTTGATGTACCATCACATTCTGTTATATCCGAAGTGTCAACAGTTGATGCAGGTCCTTCTTTTTCCGAGATCATAACAGACTTCATCTTCTTTGCCACTTTTGTTTGTACCATTGTTCTAGTTACATTATCTCGACTTGAACTATTTGAAGGTTTTGAAGTAGTTGATGAGCTGCTTTCATTTAGTTCTTCATGTTGGTTTTTTTTGGTTCGTTGTAGTCGGTTTTGAGTTTGTAATTTAATACCCTCATTTATTGACTGAACTAAATTGGCCTGACTGTGGCTCTTATTTAACTTTTCCAATACTCTAGTTTGATGCGCTTCGTATTCATCACGGCTAGGATAAATCTTAGATATGAGAAGATCAAAATTTGGATCAGGACGTAGGGACCGTTTAGATACTAGTTTCTTACGACAAGTAGGACATTCTTTATTACCTGAACGAAGAGCAGTCACAATACAGTCTGAACAGAATCTAAGATAAATATATAATTTCATTAGTTATATTATTAATATGTAATCATAGTTTATAATTACCTATGGAGACATTCTTTGGTAGTCATCGTTTTTTTCAACATATCCAAACATATTGGACACATTAGTTCACTATGTAGACTTCGTGGGGATACTGCAATTTCGGTGTTGTCTGTAATAGCTTCTTGAGGAGATCTGTGCAATTCGTATAGTGAAAGTTCCCAAGTTTTGGTAAGACCCATTGGATCTGCTGAAGCCATGTTAAAAACAATTTTTCTTTTACAATCAGATTAAAATAATTTAATAAAATATTCAATTAAGAATGAGTAATACTGTATATCAACAAATTTATAATTTATTTAATAAAATACTCAATAATAAATAATAATAATAATATATTAACTAATTGAACTGTATAAATAAAATATAATAGGTATAATTTATAACTTTAAGTTTAATATAATAAATTATAATTATCAAAAGAATAAATCGAATATTATATTTAGAGCATAATCTACAAGTATAATAAGTTAGGCTTAGCAGCTTAGGTTTAGTATCTATAAAAAATAGTAAATTCAATATTGTATTGTTGTCATAAACATTAAACAACAATATTACATAAACTCAAATCAGAATTCAGAACTGATCAATTAATTCGATAGTAAAAAACAAACCAAAACAATCGATTTTTAACCATAAAAAAATTGAATTTATAACTAATCGTTTGATTTGTACATTTGTAATGAATAATTAAACTGAAAAGGTGAGCAAATAAAGAATTTAATAAATAATAATCCGTTATAATATAACTATTGAAGATACATTTTTAAATTTAAATTAATGTAAAATGTAATGAAGTATGTACAATAACTATAGTGTGTATTAGTATATTATTCCATTTCCATGCGATTGTTGGTGTAAACAAAAGCTGTATATATATTATCTAATATCGATTTTTGTTATCAGTAAAAAATTCAAAATTATTTTTATCACCAAATAAGAATTATGAAAATATTTAAACAAAATTTTAATAGTTAATTTTATTAATTTTAAATCGTATTATTCGTATTGGTATTAGTTACTGTTGTAGCGACAAAGCGACTATTCACTATATGGAGAGTGTGCTACAAAATATTGTAC